GGGGGGGGGGGGGTCTGCGAGCTGCCCCTCTCAGCATTTCTGAACCCAAGCCCCTCCCCTTCCTTGCAGACAAGGCGTACATGCTGCACATCAATATGCTGGAGAAGGTCCGAGAAGAGTGGCAGAGCGAGCACATCAAGGCCTGCGAGGTAGCTGCGAGGAAGCTGCTCCGGAGGGCGCGGATCTTCCTCCTAGAACCCAGAGTCTGCTTTTGTAGAAATCATCACTTGCTTATTATATCTCCTAATTCTGATAAAATTGCTTGAGGGCGGCTTAGAAATCAGAAATTTAAATGGAAGATGGAAGGAACTGGAATGTTTTCCCCTAAACCTCATCTTCCTGCCTCCTTCCTGCCCTGACCATGCTGTCCAACTCTGTTCAAGGTCTTCCTCTAATGTTCGGTTAGCACAGGCATGAAAGAGATGAATCAATTCGTGGTTAATGAAGTAATTACCTTTGGAGAGCCTCAGATGCACTTGGTATGTGATAAGGAAAATGCAGACAGCGGGTGAGCAGGCGTTAGAATATTTTACCTTCCTTACACCTTTGATTTCACCGTTGCCTATCCGCCCTATCCCCTTCATTTTCAGCACATTACGTCACTTACAATTTCCCAGAGAAAATAAGACATGACCTGGAAACGTCCTCAATTTTCTGTTACCCCTCTCTACACATTTTCTTACAGTGGTTCTCCAAGTGAGGTCCCAAGACCTATAGCATTAGCATCACCGGGAAACTTTTTAGAGATTCCTATTCTCAGACCAACTCCAGACCTACTGAATCAGAAACTCTGGGAGTGGGCCCAGTAACCTCTGTGTTAAGAAGCCCCCCAGGTGATTCCGATGCGAATTCAAACGTGAGAACTACCGACCTGCACACTCCCCTTCCCTCCTTTGCACTCCCGATGCAGCACGAACGAGGCTGCTCCTGTCCTATCAAGATCTTATCCCTCCACCTGGGCCCGGAAGCCCATCCATTGCCTTGTGCACAGCTCCCTTTAATGGGCATCGCTTCCATTGTCATTTACACAAACTCAGCTCGTTCCTGGCTTTAAAACCTAGCAGCTATTGCTTTCCATCTGCTACCCTCTCCTTTTTACAGCCAGGCTTCCTGAAGGAGCTGTCTCCACAACTTCACTGCCCCTGCCTGTCCCAGCCTGCTGTGTCTGGAGTTTGCTCCCCTGTCTCTGCTCTCTCAGGGGAACCAGTGATCCTCTTGGTGTGAGGCCCAACAGACCTTTGCAGTTTCTAATCTTATTTGACCTGTCTTTATCTGGTACTGTGGGTCACTATCCCCCTTCTAAAACACTCTTTTTTGCTCTACTTCCTTGACTTCACACTCTCATGAAAAAGCCTGGAGTAAAGCCATTTTTATAAGCTTTAAGAACATGTAAAACAATATGACATACATCTTATGGACACATGCATATTATAAAAACCTGCATGGGAATGATAAAATTTAGGATAATTGTTATTTCTGGGGAAGGAGGAAGGTGACAGAGATTGGAAAAAGCACACAGGAGCTTTAACAAAATCTGAAGGAAGTATGGCCAACATTTTTGACAAAGCTAGGTGGCTGGTACATGGGAATTCATTATTCTCATGTACCAACTCTTGTATAGGTTTGAAATTTTACTTTATAAAAAGTTTCAAAATGTAATACTGTTGTATTCAATATTTAAAAAAATACGTTAATAATATAACATTCACTGTTGAATAGAATAGCGTCCACTTGATAGAATAGCTTGATTTCCCAAAAGTTGGTATTTCTTTATATTTTAAAAACTGTTGTTCAGTCAATAACTTTTAAAAAAACCAACTTTTTATTAAGAAAAATTTCAGAATTCACAAAGATTAGAAGACGACAAGCACAGAGACCCCCATGTAGTCATCAACTAGCATCAGCAATTATGAATCTTGCCAACTGAATTCGTTCATTGGGGTGTGTGGGGGGAGAGGCAGAGTTTTGAACCTGAGGCTCTGGCGGGCTGCGTAGGTGGAGATGCCCCTTAAGCATTTGGAAATGTGAGCTGGAATTCAGGTTAGAACCTGGGTGTCTGGGTTCATCATAGCCTCTTACCTTCAGAATTATACCCCATTGTGTTTGTGTTAATACATATTAGAATCTATTTGCATTCTTTGCTGTAAGAGTTTACAAGCTTCCTTGATGGGGAGGGAGTACCCTAAATGGACAATAAGCTTGCATAATTGGGGATGACACTGTTTCTTAAGTCGTAGGCAGTCTAGACAAATGGCCCCTTTCTCTGCATATGTATTTACATGTAGTTATGTTTCCGTAGATGTTTGAAGCTCAAGAATATGAACGAATAAACTTCTTTCGGAACGCATTGTGGTTACACGTGAATCAGCTGTCGAAACAGTGTGTCACCAGCGATGATGTAAGTCAGAGGCATACATGAGAGTGGAAGGAACTATAGACATTTGTTAGTTCACCCCTCTCATTTGAGTCCCAGAGAGGTTACAGTGACTTGCTTAGGGCCACACAGTTGGTTGATAGAAGGGCCCAAATAAGCACCTAACCTGCCTGACCCCTGGTCTATTTTACCCTCATGACTTTCTCTTTAAGAAATTCAGAGCAGAAGGGCAGAGAAAGGAGACTCAAATACAGTTAAATTTATGGAAGACAGAGATGTTACAGCATGAATGTGAGTCCCAGAGGGTCACTCCAGGACGGCACCAAGTACTAGCAGACTGACTGATGCCCAGGCTAATGGTTCCCAGATCTCAGGGGAACCAGAATCAAGTTATCACAACCTTCTTTGCTAAGAAATAGCTACTCTCACTTAGGTGAAACATTCACTTTAGAAGAACAATTAAACACAGAGAAAACCTGCAGAACTGAATGGAAAGACTTTTCTCCAAGTAGTTGTCTTTGTGTTTGTGTGACATTGGTCTTGGCACTTGGTATCTGTTTACTTTGTGTCCCATCAGTGTTTTTTTTTTTAATCCTCACCTGAGGATATTTTTTCCATTGCTTTTCAGAGAGACTGGAAGGGTGGGGGAGAAAGAGACACACACACACACACACACCCCGATGTGAGAGAGACATATCACTTGGTTCCCTTCTGCATGTGCCCTGACTACGGCTGGGGATCGAGCCTGCAACCGAGGTGCCTTGGCTAGAATCAAACCGAAGACCCGTCAGTTCATGGGCAGTGCTCTAACCACTAAGCAAAACTGGCTAGGGCTGTATTTTTTTCAATACATTTTTAAAAATTGATTTTTGGAAGCGAGGAAAGGAGAGGTATAGGGAGATGGAAACATCCATGAGAGACATCGATCGGCTGCCTCCTGCATGCCCCTTACTGGGGATTGAGCCCGAAACCCGGGCATGTGCCCTGACCCGAATCGAACAGGGGACCTCTTGGTTCATGGGGCAACACTCAGCCCACTGAGCCACACCATCTGGGCCCATCAGTATTTTTTAAAAAATATTTTCAAAGTGAAATTTGGAAATGAGTCAGCAACACATCAAACCTCCTGTTTTAGTAAGCCACGTCACAAGTTTTATGGACATCCCTATACCATGATGTATCTTCTTTTTGTTAGATGTATGAAGAAGTTCGTAAGAGTTTAGAGATGTGCAGCATTGAGAAGGACATCGAGTACTTTGTGACTCAACGAAAAACTGGACAGACTCCACCAGGTGAATGGAGTGGCGGGGGTGGGGGCTCATTTAAGCCATTCTATTAGTCTTTCTTGTCATATGTTGTTGACGGGGCAAGACACCTGCCTCTTCATGCTTTGTTTCTTGATTCCTCTAGCACCCATCATGTATGAGAATTACTACTGCCCCCAGAAGAAAGCAGCCCCACCAGGAAAGACTACAGGGCTGAACTTAGCAAGGTAATGACCAGCTTCCTTTCACAGGAAGAAAAATACTTTTATTTTTATTTTTTTAAATATTTTAAATTGACTTTTAGAGAGAGAGGAAGGGAAAAAATAGAAAAAAAACCCACATCAATGCAAGAGTGGAATATGGACCGGCTGCCTCCTACATGTCCCCAACTGGGGATCAAGCCCGCCATCTGGATATGTGCCCTGACCGGGAATTGAACTCGCAACCTTACAGTGCATGGGATGATGCTCAGCCGGGCCAGGCCGGCCAGGGCAAAAAATACTTTCAATAAACATTTTTAATCATTTATGTTCTAAGACATTAGAATTGAAACATAGCTACCCCTGCATTTGCTTATGAGGTTGCTAGATTTTTGGAAATAGCAATTTTAGGACAAATGTGAAATGGATTTTACCAGTCATAGTCCAAGGAGGACAATATCATGCTTGAATGTGAATTTTATTATTCAAGCATGAGTCCTATACCTTTCTCATAGACCGTAGAGAGCAGGAGTCAGCAAACTCTGGCCCTCTGTGAGTCAAATCTGACCTGCCTGTTTTGGTAGTGCCTGTGAGTATTTTAATGGTTGAAAAAAATTGAAAGAATACTATCTTGTGATGTGAAAATTATATGAAATTCACATTTTGGTGTTTGTATATAAAGGTTTTTTTCTTTATTTTATCTTTTCCATCACCATTTATCCCCCCATACCCTCTTCCATCCCCTCCCTCCCCACTGTGTATGTAAAGTTTTTGACCACACTCATTTGTTTACATTCTGTCTGTAGCTGCTTTCAAACTAGAGTTGACTAGAGTTGCAAGGGAAGTGACTGTGGCCAGCAAAGCCTAAATCATTTACTATCTGGCTCTTTGCAGAAAAGTTCGCTGCCCCTGACATAAAAGATCTGGAGAGAAGAAAAATTTTTGTTTTATAGATAGTCACCTTGAAGTCTAAGCTGTTGAATTTTCAGTTCAGTTTTAAAAAAATAATGGGGGCCCTGACTGGTGTGGCTCAGTGGTTAGAGCATCCTCCCACACACTGAGGGATCTTGGGTTTGATTCCAGGTCAAGGGCATGTACCTGGGTTGCAGAGGATGTCTCTCTCTCACATCGACGTTTCTCTCTCCTCTCTCTCTCTCCTCACCTTACCCCCTTCCTTCCACTCTCTCTGAAAATCAATGGAAAAAATATCCTTGAGGGAGGATTAACAACAACAAAGATAATGGGTGTTTTGGGGGCTGGCATGATCATCACCAATATTTAAGAATGCCAGGCACTGTTCAGAACAGTTCATATGGCCCGGCCGGGCGTGGCTCAGCAGTTGAGCATCGACCTAGGATCCAGGCGATCGGGGTTTGATTCCCAGTGAGGGCACATGCCCGGGTCGCGGGCTCGATCCCCAGTGGGGAGCATGCAGGAGGCAGCTGATCAATGACTCTCTCATCATTGATGTTTCTATCTCTCTCTCTCCCTCTCCTTCCCTCTCTCTGAAATAAGAAAAAAATATATTTAAAAACAAACAAACAAAAACAGTTCATATGAATGAGCTCTTTTAATCCTCACATTTTCCACGCGAAGTTGCCGACACCCAAGGAGGTTAGGAAGTCTTGCCCACCCAGCTGAGACGGTCCCCCTGGTGGCCCGGTTGCGGGGCAGGGCCCTGTGCGCCTGACCGCTGTGCACCTCGCTCCTCAGTGTAACAGAATGTCTGCACCTTAGAGCCCAGTAGTCAGTGCTGCGGTCTCATGGCTTCATGGGAACTTTTCTTGACCCTCTAAAGCAGAAACCAGATCTGATTAGAGTGTAGTATGCTTGTTGTGTGATGTAGAAAATTAGGAAAGCAAGAATTTCTCTGAAAGACTTTGGTTTTCATTTCTTACAGGAGAGGACCTCTCCCGATTCCTAAAAGTTTGCCAGGTATGCCATCCAGAAAGAGCTTTGGAAATGCTTATGTCAGCTTTGCTTTAAGGTTAAGTAGCTAGACTTTTGAAATAAAGGAAAAGAAGGGAATAAATAGAATCAGATTTCTGAAAGAATAAGTCTATATTAGAATCTTACTGTAATACTATGTGTCACAGAGTGGAATTTCACGATGCGTGTCTATTTTATAGCTATCCAAGAGAATTTAGCTCCTGGATTACCAAAAGAAACTTCTTATAAGGCAGTCTTACTTAATAGATTATTTCATCTTGGACCATAAGAGTTGAGATATAGTTTCCTTTGGATTACACAGAAATATAGCTTACAGAAGGTGTTTAGAACTGTATAACTTAATATTTTATATCTTGTGCATTGCCCATAATTGGATCTTTCACTAGTCACCGGTCTCTTTTTTTCTCTGAACTGTTACCATCCCTCTGGGAGAACTACCTTTTTTAGCATTTTTTTGTTAGTTATATTTTTTGGGTAATGATATCCTTGTGGGCAGGCACTTTGTTTTCTCCTGTACCACTCACAATACCTAACACAGTACTGGGCACATAATAGGTACTCAACAAATATCTGTTATTTGAATAAAAGAAAGATATGCCAAACTATGTTCAAGGGAATGAGGAAAGAGACAGCTATTGATACATTTAACAGTTTAGCAAAAATTTAGTGACTGAAAATAAACTAGTGGCTGAAATTACATCTTTGAACAATATAAGGAACTACATTATTTTATTTCTTGTTGCCTTATAATTACTTGATAATGTGGAACTTACTTTTGTCCGTATTTGAAGATGACTTTACTGTGGGTACTGCTATTTAGGCATGGATAAAAAGTACAAAAACATCATAATAGGGACTTCCAGAATATTCTCTGGTTTGTAGTCATGACTAACATTTGTAGGTTTTGTTGCCAGATGTATTTTCTTCTTACAAAAGGGCAGTCACTAGAATCTTTGAGTGGAGTGACTTGATTTGAAAGGTCTAAGGTCTTAAGAAAAAATGTTGGCTTCCTGTTGCTCTGTGTTTTGTCCTTTGCAGATGACCCGGATTATTCTTTTGCTGATGACTACAGTTTTATCTACCAGTAACATCAATGGTAGGAGCCTTTAATTTTCACGTCACTGAGTTGCATTTAGACTGGTGATAGTATTTTTGAAGCCTTTGATGCTTTTAACACCACTGCAAGTGAGCAAAGCCTTGCATCAGGCTGGCATGCTGGTGGGTGTTCCTTCAGGATCACTTCTCTCTGCTGTACTTTACATCCCCAAGACAGATGATAACTTTTGAATTTAAAAATGTGTGTATCAAAAAGTATAAACACTTGTTATTTACCATAAAGCTATGGATACTATTATCACATCCCATTTTTTATCACTTGAAATACCCACTTCTTGCCATGTGTTTTCCTTTATTCATTTTGAATAAAATCTCAGTGTGGGAGCAGAGTGCTGACATGAATGGTAAAGTCAACTGAAATTTCTCTGTTATTTTCTTTCAGAAAACAGAGCTTTTTCAGGCTGGTGCTTCTGTGGAGACACTCAGAGTAGCCGAATCTGTAGAGATTATGTCAATCATGAAGACTTTGAAATCAACCCTTGTTGTAAATTTTTGATGTTTTAAGTTTATGGTAGACATTTAGGTTAACTTAGCTAGTAGAGTTCTGCATTTTCTAAAAGAAGTCCACCAACTGGCCCAGACTCAAGAATGATCCTTTCCCAATCAGTTATTAAAGTTGTGAATGAATTGTGTTTTCTACTTGATCCAGAACAGTCTCTGGATTTGCAGCCTTGAGTCTTGGTGGTTGGGGAACAGGGATGGCTGGAGAGGCGATTGTGCCAGCATCCTGCCCAGGAAGCTCCTTTGGCTCTGGGGCAGCGTGCTATGGCATTTCCACAGTGACACACGCTCTCAGTGGTGCAAGATTTCAAATCACCTTCTTTTTTGACTGGAAGACTCAGAGGCCATCTGATTGCACTTTCTCATTTTACACATGAGGAAATGAGACCCAGAAGTGTGAAATCAGTTTCCTTACTGTTGTCCCAGCTGGTTCTGAACAGAACTAGAACTAGAGTTCGAGCTTATCCCACATCACCGTTCTTCTAGCCTTTCCTGAGGCCGTGATGCTCATGTTGAAATTTAAGACGCCAAATGTTTTTGCTGGCATCTTTTCAATTGGGAAAATTACCAGGGTTTAAATGTCAGATTTATTTTTATGTGGCTCACTGTGTGTACTGAACTACACAGCACCATATTTAATTTAATGAAGAAGCATTTATTGTAAAATATACCATTATTATATATACTCTTAAGAAAGGCAGGTGGGAGAGAGTTAACAGTTAACTTGTGAGTTAATGGCCAAATCCATTTGAATTTCAAATGCTAAAAGTGCAAAAAAAAAAAAAAAAAAAAAAAC